TAATTTATACATGTTGCTTACCAGATTGATGGGTCAGAAATCAGTGGAACATTGGACCCCCACTTTTTGGGGATGAGAACAATGAAAGTAAAATTTAAAGATTTAACAAAAAGTCCATCCCGGTGGAAATCCTTATAGAGATTGACCATATCATCCTCAATCAACATCCAGAAACTCAGCAGAAATTTGAAATTGAAACCATCAAGGCTAGGTGCTTTATCCCCATTACAGCTTTTTAGAGCTGCTAATATCTCATCATCAGTAAAGTCCACTTCCAGCGACTCCCTGCTGGAATTGTCAAGGGTATCAAGTGCAGATTATCCAGCTTTGGGCGGAGGGGAAAGTCTTCAGTGTACAGCCTTTGGTAAAAGGCTCTAGTAGTCTCTCCCATGGCCTCATTACTGAAAAACTCTTTCCATCCAAACACATATTCTCAACATAATTCGACTTTCTCCTATGATTGGCCAGGCAGTGAAATTTTTTTGTAATTTTGTCTCCCTCCTTTAACCATTTTTCTCTAAGTTTCTGTTTTCAAGATATGAACTCCATGTGGAGTCTATTGACTAGATCGGTCTTCAAATTATAATATATCCTTGTACTCCGAACTGAGACCTAAGGAGCCCTCAAAATTTTCCAGATTGGTAAGCTCCTCCATGATGTTTGTACTGTCTCTCTCATCCTTAAGACCAACCTCTTTAGTCCAGTTCCTGATGGCATTTTTGAGTATTTTAAATTTATGTGCAATCTTGGAGCTGGCTGACCCCAACATAGTAGAATTACTACAGACCCTCCTGACCATTTCTTTGAAGCTTTCAAGTTTTAACCACTTATTGTCAAAGCATAATGGAATTGGACCCCAAAAAAACCTGTCATCAGCTAATAAAATAGGAAAGTGATCAGAAACAGCTCTAACAAGTACCTTTTGACACAAACCCAGTAGCTTGAGAAGGAGGTAAGGATCAATGAGGAAGCGATCAATTCTGGAAATTGAAGGGGCTACCTGTTGATTGTTGCAAGTCTAGGAACCTCCCTATAAGGGACTGTAAGTCAGATTGAGGAATTCCAAATTATCATTACCATAATGAAATCACCACCCATCACACCCATACTACCCTATCTAACTTGGCAGTCAGACAATTCCTTCCACAGAGCCATACACTCCTCTCTATTACCCCGACAATACACACCTGCAAAATATCACCCAATCCTCTGTGATTCACTAACAAACTTACAGGAGGCAGTAATCTCACCAACAACGGTGTTGATACATTCAATGATATCTTTATTTCACATAATCATGATGCCCCCGGCCGAGCCCGAGGTAAGGAGATGAAGCCACCCGACATCTTTTACTTTCCATAGACTCTTTATGATTAAATTGTTGATTACCTCCATTTTGGTCTCTTGTAGACAGAAAATCATGGGCTTCCATCTACTTAGACAGCCTTCGATGATATGTCATTTTCTATCGTCATTCAGACCCCACATATTCCATGATAGAATGTTCCTTAACATTTTAGAACAATCAATTCACCCCTACCACACTGGTCTTCTTTCTTCGGCATCATAGATAATTGATGATTGAACCCTCTTAAGTTCCCTATTTCCACCTCTCTTTGTTTTTTCTTCGGTTTTTCGAGAGAGGCATCCACCTTCACCTTGACTCTCTTCTCAACTCAGAAAAAAGACACAAAGCAATTTGTTCTAATCCTTCAAAAGTGACACCCAGTGAATAACTTAATTGTTGAACGTTCTGTAAACTCATGAAGAGTAATAGTGCTTTACAAAAGATTCCCTATCAGAAGTGACAAAATTTTGCTCGAAGTTTGGAAACCAGATCGGGAATTTTCTAAAAACAGGCTCCAGAAGGAGCAACAATTCCATACCAAAAGAAGTGCAAAGTTGGGACGTACCTTCTGGAGATTTCCCCTCTTCAATTTCAACAAGGGAGTCTCCACTTCATCCCCGGAGATACCCAAATCCTTAGTTCCCAGTCCTTCGTAAGTAGTGTACATAGTTGTTTTGGCTAATAGAGGCTCAATTTCGCTAGAGGAACCCTTTTCGAGAGAGGATGGAAATGTCCTAGCAACAATCTCACCAAAATCAACTGAGGAATCAAGTGGGTCCTCAGGATCTTTAGATACGCCAAATGGGCCGAGGATATCTTCAAACTGGGATGGAAAGGCCATAAGAGAGAGAAATTTGAAGAGGCGAGGATTACAAGTAAGGGGAGAGGAGAGGAGAGGAGAGGAGAGAGAAGAGAGGAGAGAAGAGAGAGTTGTAAGGCAACGTCGTGAGCCTGATTCCTATGATCCTTTCCCACGTCAAACAATATGGGAAGTGAATGATCCCCCCTATAATCAATTCCTTTTCTTGGAAAGCAAGGCGTAAAAGTATTTTGACCATTGATAAGTTGACAAGAAGGAGAAAGATTTTGATCAATGGATGCTACCTTTGTGAGAGGGCAGAGGAGACTAGCAACTATATTTTACTATAGTGTCCTCTGGCGTCTAAGTTATGGAGCATGGTGTATGGGATTTTGGCTGTTAGTTGGGCAATGGCAGTAGTACAAGGGATGAGACATGGGCATGGAAGGAGGTGGGGTAGGAAAAAACATTTGGGTTTCATTCCTCTTACAATTTTGTGGGTGGTGCAAAAAGAAAAAGATAGGAGAACTTTTGAAGGGACGGAAGAGGAGTTTGATAGGGATAGATGGTATCAAACTTTGGGTTGTTCGGCTATGGGTAACTATTTCTACTCTATGGAGGATTTTGGTAACTTTATTGAAATCTTAATTGATGTGTAAATATCTTTTGTACATGGATTGACAACTCTTTGGTGCCTATAATTAACGAATACACATTATACTTTTTTATTTAAAAAAAATACAACAAGGAAACAACTAGCAATTAAAATATGGGATGAGACAGAAACCATTCTCTGTGAAAAGTATTTTCTTCCCAAATACTTTGACAAACTTCATAATCAAGCTTAAACATTCATTCCTGGCAATATTTCAGTAATAAAGTACACATAGAAGTTTGAAAAATTAAGAATTTAGAGCCAATTTGGCATAAAGGATGTAGTTTTAAAACCTATGACCACAAAAGAGATAAATAAATATAAACGTCCAAAAGTACCTAAGTTCAATTAAAAAGATAAAGAGAATGAGCTCATTAAGGTTGAGAAATTAGACGAATTGACACGTGTTTCTAAGAGTAAAGATGTCAAAGGTCACTCAAGACCTTTCACTATCTAAGAAGAATTATTTGGAAGTTCAAACACAACGAGGAACTTAAGCCAATAATTGGGTCTAGTATGTTCAAACTTAAGGATGAAATTGAAGCACAAATTGTTTCAATATGTTAAATTCATTCTACCATCAAGATTTCATACTCCTAAACCATTATTTGTTTCCCACATGTTTGCTACCAAAGAGAATGACCAAGAAAATTAAAATACTTTGAAGATCAAAGTTTTATGAAATTTGCCACTTAAGTTTTATAAAACTAACACAAACTATTCAAGAGTCTATTATTATAGTTTAATAACTTCAGAATTTTATTCTTATTAGTATTTAATTTTCTTATTTGTATTAACAATATTTCCTCTTGACTCATTCGTTTGGGAGAATATCACCTTTCTAGCCTCTCTTTGGGCCAAGGCTCATGGGAAATTTTCTGACGCTTAACTTACAGTCCTCCATAGGAATTGCAATGGCTATTGTCACGAGATCATTTGTATTTGATGATAATTGTTTTTCTTGTATGCTGCGCTTGTCTTTTCTCCTCAGCTGGATATCTTATATGCTGTACTTTTTGTATGTTTTCCCTTTTCTTCAATAATATTCTTTATTCCATCAAAAAGAAAAAAAATTAACAGCATTTCCTATTTTATTAGGAGTAATATTTATAATCTTATTAGTATTAGTTTCCTATCCTATCAGGAATAGTATTTCTAATCTTATTTTCTTTAGAAGTGTATTTTTAATCTTATTAATATTAGTATTTCTTAGTTCAGTCTTATTTTGTAAAAGTTACTTAGAAAGCACTACAAATATCTTTGTAATTGTACTTCTTAATACAAAATTCAGTTATTCAATAAAATGCTTCAAGATTTTATCATTTTCTGGTTGTGTGATATACTTAAAATTCTTAGATGTGGCGTTTAAGAAACCTTGATGTGATATTTAGGCTTCTATTTCCCAAATCCCTAAATTAGCCCTAATTCATCCTACACTAATCAGAAAATTCACTTGTCTTACAATTCAGATGCATAAAACATTATTGCTGAGAAGAATTATCTCATGAATGGAACTGTGGGCACAATGAACTCCTATGATCTATATAAGTTCCTAGAAACCAAAGGTAGAGTTGGTCCATAAGGTAGAATCTCTAAGAGAATGTTACAGTTTTACAGCCAGCTTTTGCATATACAATTACCAAGCTCATTAAAACATTTAGAAGTTTGACCTGCAGAGATAGATATAACTCATAATAGAACACAATTTTCAAATGTTTTTAGTCAGTGACAACTTTTTTTTTTTTTAAATAATACAGTGACAACTGAAATGACAATTTATAACACACGCAACATTATCTTGTGCTTGAACTGAACCAGCATTAAAAAGATAAGGTAAATTGTGAAGAACATGACTCAGGATAAAAGCGGGACTAATCCTTTTCTTTTAACCCAACACCACAAAGAAAAAAAGTAAGAAAACCCTTAAGTTCCAAGGAGAAACCCAACAAGCACCAAAAAGATCAAATAAATGAGCCCAAAGTCTCCAAGTGTAGCACCGTGCAAAAAAATGGTTATGGGATTTAGCAAGAGAAAACACATCATACACACCTGAGATCAAAGCATGATTCAACATGTGAACTTGGAGCAAATAAGTTAGCAAATCATTAAGGAATGAGAATTGAGACAAATTTGGGTGTTCTTATCCTTATAACTTTCTTATCTTAAATTGCAACCCATTTCCCCATCTCTTGGGCTGTAAATTTGGGCCTGCATAATCTCCTAGCATCAAGTCAGTTCTCTTAAATAAAAGTAAGCAGTTTTCTTATTTTGAAAAACATGGGTTGTCTTCTCTTCAGAGCAGAGACATAAGACTTCTTTTCCTCAATATTTGAGCTCTTTTTCTTCTTCTCCAAAACCCACTGTGTATTACACAGTGGACAAGGCAGAGTGTAGCTTCCACAACCAGTTTGATCTCCCAGTCTAATCCCCCTGAGTGGCTGGATAAGCTGGTTTTTCTCTTATTCACCATCCAACCACACTAGTTCTGCAATAACTGCTGCTTTTCTTCCTCCAGGCTTAACTTGCAAACTCGCCAGTGGCTAACAACAATCTCCACCACCTCAGCTAGTAACTTCTAGAACCAAGACCCCTATATTATCACTTGTGTTCTTTTCTCTTAATTCCATAAAAACGTCCCCACCATTACTCTTCAATAAAGACTAAAAATGATCTTCACTTTTGTAATATTTGACCATGTCCTATGCCCTCTGACCCAAAAAAGAAAATCACACAAGGCTATAAAAGTCCACCTTATCTCCAAGCTGAAAAGGTAGAGAAAAACATCTTGTTGCCGCCATCGTCTATGGTTCTAAGAGTATTTTCAATTTCCCCCTCTAAAATCACATCAAGAGACTTTTTCTATCATCAAGAACTTCCTTGGTGGCAGAAGAGACATGATTTGATGTTAAACAAATTATACGTGATGCTATCTTGCTACTATAAAGATGGACCTTCAATTTTCCACAATCAACACTAAATGTTTGGCGTAGTGAATAGAAGGCAGTAAGACTCACCCTTCCCATAAAAACAAAAAAAAGAAAAGCTAGGCTCACCTTTGTTTAAATAGAGTGGAGGATAATAGAAACAGGTCTTCTGCATGGTACTGTGTATATCGCACAAAGAAAGGCATGTATAATGACAAAGTCACACAAATACTTAGAATGAAATTTTATGTTTCCCTGTTAAAAAAAAAAAAGAGGTTTCTCTATAAAAAAACACATTGCACAAGGAAGATATGCTAACCTTTTTACACAAAAAAGTGGAGGTTCGTCAGGGTATTTTTCTGTGTGAGAGAAAATTAAAGCCAGCTTAACTGAAAAAGGAGTTTAAGAAATAGCTTTAGTTTGAAGTGAAACAGAATATCAGTATGGCAAACAATCCAAAATTCAAAAATTTAGTCGAGTGCAATAATTCAGACCCAGTGCAAGAAACAAACAAAACCACATGCATAAACACACTCATAGAAATCAGAAGAGTTCAATGTGTGGTAATAAAAAAAAATAATAATAACCTGGAGGCATTGTTGACTCATATGGCTCATCATCCTGCAGAGTATAAAGATGTACTACATAAGTAGAATATGATAATAAGTAGAAGATATCTAATGAATAAATTCAATCTATCAATTCATAACACCTAAGATCAAGAAAATTTGTACCCCCAGGTGGAAGTTATTACACACAGTCACAAACCCAACAGACAAAAGCTTGAGCCTCTAGATAACTTAGAGAAAGCTCGTCCTTGGATGGAGAATCAAAACTCAATTTTCAGGAAGGCAGGAAGAAGTATACTCAATTTTCAGTTCATACCGAATAGATTCCAATAAATGGTAAATTCATGGGATGAGAATTGCTTATATAATGTGCATAGTAAGGGTATGAAAGAAATATGTTGGGAGCTTAAAATATCATACAAATAGGAAATATTGAGAATGCCATACTTAGGTTTTCTGGAAAAAGAATTTGCACATAGCACTAAAGATTACGATACCTGAGGAGATAATGTTATTTGGAAGCATCGGTTTGAAGTATCCAGCCCGCTTTCATATGAATGAATTTCTGGGACGGAACACCACCAAAAAACACATCATATCAGTACAAGGCAAAATAATTTTTTTGTTAAGTAGCTATTCAAAAACATAAGAGCAGCAAACCTTTAAAATCATCCATTAGTATGGCTTCCAATGCTTCAATTTCCATCTCTTGCTCCTGTGCATAGTCTGCAAACATCCCTTAACTTTGAGATATGGATAGGAGAATGTTTGAGGGCAGGCATTAGCAATCTTAATAAACATCACATTATAGGAGCGATTAACATGACCCCACCATACCTATGTTAAACATTCCATTGAACACTCTCAGATTATCAAGTAAATGCATTTGGATTTTATTTGAGCGAAAACAATCTCCCTAATACAATTATCAGTTTCCATCTTATCTTATCATCCAAAAACAATTCATGCATCGAAATTGATGAATGCTCAGAAGCTTGAACAAGAAACATGAAAGAAATTTCGATATAAATCAATTCAAGCAGCAGGAAATTATCCTAATCTGATAGAAATGAAGAAGGTACCACTAAGCTCATATCAAAGAAAGAAGATACCGTAGAGAATCAAGCAAACAAACACTCGTGTCACTCGAACAAATAAACAAGTAATTAAGCTTATAAGCACATCAATTACTTCAAAACTAAATTGATTTTGAGGAATGAAATCAAATTTCAAATGAAATTAAGTATAGTTTACCTGCCATGGTTGCGAGGTTTTAAGAAATGATTTGATATAAGGCCTTCAAGTTAAAGTAACTAAAAAGGAAAAAAAAAAAAAATTAGTGCTCCTACTGAAGCCGAGTCTCCCTTCTGGAGCTTCTTCGTCAAAGACGGTGCCTCCGCTGTGAGTCCGTCTCGATTCAGTACAGATCCAGCCGAGTTCCGCTTTGATCTCCGTTTCCCGTGTCCTTTTTCTCTATTCTGCACAGGTTTCGGTTACAGCGGCTGCTCCACCGTCGCGATTCTCTTCTGGTGTCCCGGAGGTCGGTAGCAAGTGGCGAGTCGGCTAGTAGCGTCGCGCTGTGCTTTCCCCTTCACCGTCGGCAGTCCTCGGGTTGAGTCCTTGTGCGTTTCGGTGGGTTTGCATATACTGTTGAGCATCTGTCTCCCATCCGTCGGGTAGGGTATAACTGTGTTTGTCCTGCCCTCTCAATTTTGGTTTGGTGTCCCGTTGTTCGATTTTTGCCCCAGCCCCGTGGCGGTTTATATTGAAGATTATTATGTGCGAAATACAAAAATTTAAAAGCACAAGGGTGTGCAAATCTCCCTTTCAACTAGACCAATTCATCGGTTTGGATCGAACCGAACTGAATATATGTTCTGTCGGATCTTTAGTACGAGGATTAAACAAATTCAAAATAAAATAAAATTTCGATTCTTATTATTTTATTATATAGTATATAATATAAAAATTTTATTATGTTGTTATTTAGTTATTATGTATTATATTTTTTATTCTAATTATATTGTTATTTATATATAATAATATATTAAAATAAAGAAACATAAAGAAATTACGAATTTTTACCAATATATTTTTAATATTTTTATGTTATGAATTTAAATCAGTTTAGTCATCGTCTTAATCGATAAAAAAAATTGAATAAAAAAAATCTAGAAAAACCCTTAGTATTTAAAGCCTCCCCTATCGCGCCTCTCGACCTCTCCTTTCCTAGGTCCCTCTTGCCTTTTAACTGCCCT